GTCATCTCTGTGAAGTTTGTGAAGGAAGCTTCAAAACAGACACAGGAAAACAGCCCCTGTGGTACACCTGTCAGAGAGCTTTATATTCTGATGCAGTCTCCTTTTGTGTCTAACTAAAATCAGTTCTCCTGTGTTTTGGTCTTCCTTTCTTCTGCTGGTGTTTTAGGACAGCTGGTAACTGTCATGTTTGTTCTAGAAATGCTTGTAAAATTTGCATCTTTAACTTTTTTTATGTCAAACATTTTTAGCATTTTCATCCCATAACAGTTAAGAGCAATCTTTCTTCAAAGTCAGCTGTATGTCCAGTTGGGCTGCTAGTATAAATTGTGGTGCCCTGTTTGTCCTTGGCCTTATCTGCCCTGGCAAAATCAGTAAGCTTGATGTTGGCATAAGAATGCTCTTCTGTCAAAATGCTGCAGGAATAGGATGGGAACAGTGCCTGTGTTTACCCATCCTAATATATCATATGTTGCTTTAGATATTTAATGTGCTAGACTCATCCTGTGGAATTTGCTTAAATTAGATAAGAGGCTTCAGGGACAAAACCTGTTTTCATTAAATTACCTTTATTGTGACAAATATGTATGAGTTTTGTTTGAATTCGCAAAATTGTTTAATCTCTTTTCCTAGGTGAAGATATTTGCCCCCAATATTGAGCAAAGGGATGTAGTCAATCACCTAAAAGGAAGTCCAGCAGAAGAGAAGAGAAATGTGTTAGTTGAAAGTGCCAGGTTGGCAAGGGGAAACATTCAGGATTTGGCTGAACTGAAAGCTAGTGAATTTGATGCTGTCATTTTCCCTGGTAGGTATCACAAAATCATAAAATACTCTGTGTTGGAAGGCCCACAAGGATCATTGCGTCCAATTCTTAAGTGAATGGCCCACATAGAGGTTGTGCCCACAACCTTGATATTATTAGCACTGTGCTCTGACCAGCTGAGCTCATCTTTCAAAAGAAAATTATTTGTGATTTTTAAACTCAGTACATTTATGATTCATAGTTCACTAAGTTAAAATGCCAGATGTTCTTTTGGTATTAAGTTGCATCCCACCATTCCTTCTTACCGAAGGTTGTGAAAACTTCACTACTTACGTGTGAACAAGAACCCTGACCAGAGTACAAAAATTGGGTCAGAACTCAGTTACATGGCAATGCCTTAATTTCAGGGCTTCTGAAAATATTGGCAGAATAGCAGGTTGCCAAATAGATTGTTCCATGTCAGATGGGAGTACATTCTGCTTAATTATGTATCCACTCAGCTCCTGATCAAGGTGTACTAAACATGTTTATGGATAATTTTTTACTTGGAGAGTTTCATTCCAGACAGAGGTAGTTGTAATCACTTTTAGAAATGAAGAAGCCAGAGCATCACGAGGAAATCATGACTTGCTGAAGATCTCTTTCCAGAATATTCATAGTACTGTTAAATACTACCTCCATGATTGGGCCTAAGCGATAATTTTAAGGTTTTCACACTGTCGTAAGGCCACCAGAGGGAGTGTGTGTATAACACAGAGAAACAACTCTGCCTGCACTTCGAGTGGCTCATCAGGAGCGACTAGAGAATCACAGATGTTTTGCACATTAATTTCATGCTGTTAGAACCCAGGCTCAGGGGGATGCTGTAATAACTGTTAGAGGGAAATAAACCCCATTTAGTTTGAAAATTAAAATCTCACCTCAGAGATTTCAGATAACACTTGAAAGTGAGCAAACCGGGAAAGGAAAAATATTAAAAATGCAAAGCTTCTTGATGTTGTCTGTTGGAGTACTTGTGGAAATTTCCTTATGCTTATTGGACAAAAGTTGATGCTGTGCACATTCCATGTGGAATAGCCTTACTTTGATTATTCTGATGGTTATAAATCCAGCAGACAAAGGAGCTGTAAAATACAATCTGCTAATACAATTAAAGGAAGATTAAATGTACCTAAAGGATTGTTAAAATTAATTTCTAGACAGACAAATCAGCACTATTTTTAATAGGAAATTATGTTATCATTTAAAAGTTTTTGTCTTAGAATACCATATGTTATAATGTCCATTTTGTGTAAAATCCCCAGNTTTTTTTTTTTTTTTTTTTTTTGTTGTGTTAATGGCTTTTTTTGAAGTTGAAAAGTAGTTCTAGGGAAGAAGAAAAGCTCTTCTATAATTGTTTAAGCATCAAAGTAAAACTTGAGAGCTTATTAATATAGGGGGTCAAATCCCTGTTTGCATTACTCCCATGAATTCCATACTTGTGCTTTTAACTAGTATTTGTCTTCTGGTCCCTCTTCCTTATTGAGTGCATAACAGATGGTATAGCTGTTCTAGTGACTAGCAGACGAATGTGGGGTTTCCTGTTTGTCCATTTGTTGCTTTTTGAAACAAGGTTAAGCTTTCTGGCCTATGTATAACCTACATGGTGTAAAAAAGTGCACAGTTAAACTTTTAACATTGTAAACCCAGCATTTACAGGTTACAGTGACATTGTAAGGCTTTCAGTACAGTTACTTAACAGTCCCACACATACCAAGATTATGTTGTAAAAAAGAACTTCTGTTTGGTGTGTGCTGTTATCAAATTTAATAGCTTTTAGCAGTGCCTCATATTTGAGCGTTTTGCTTTGTTTTTTTTCTTTTCTTAGGTGGTTTTGGTGTAGCAAAGAATCTGTGTTCCTGGGCTGTAGATGGCAAGAACTGTACTGTCAACGAGCACGTGAACTCCACACTCCAGGCCTTTCACAGTGCTAAAAAGCCCATTGGTTTGTGCTGTATATCACCAGTTCTGGCAGCCAAAGTCTTTCCTGGTTGTGAGGTTACAGTCGGTCAGGATAAAAACATAGATGGAAGGTAAGAAGGAAATGGATGGAGATGATTTACATCAGAATTACAATTAGGAAGTGGACAGGCTTCTGTGCAAAAGTCTCTTTTGTACCAGTAAAGTGGGGGGAACTTAGTTACTTTTAAGAAAAATTTGTGACAGTTTTCACTAGAATAACAGTAGTAGGCACAGAACTCTCAAGGCAGACAGAATGAATCCATTCTGTCCAATGAAGTTGGGTGACTTGTGATGCTACAACTGGATGTACACTGATCTGTGATATCACAGAATTGTTTAGTTGGAAAAGTCCTCTAGGATGAGTTAAACTGTTTACTCAGGGATTTTTAATATCATTTTTCTGGTGATAGTGGTTTGGGGCCACTTTAGGGGAGGGAGATGAGAACAGGGCATGGCAGAAATCAGTACTGCTTCAAGAACTGTCAACTCCCAATAAAATTTCTGAATGAAATTTATCATCAGCTGTAGTGGGTGATTCTGTTCAGAAGAGATTGCATCTGTTCCTGCCTTATCAGAAAGGAAAAATCAAAATCTCTAGAGATCCCAGAGGAACACCTTACATGGAGGTATTGGAAAAGGCTGCAAGTTCAGCTGGCTTCTCTCAAGCTTCTAAAGATCAGTTATGGCTGCACTTGGTAGCATCTTCCAAACTTACCTAAAGATTGTTAAAAACTCTTGTACCTTCTTACATATTGTGGCTTCATATTTCAGACCTTGTTTTCAAAGGTATTAGATCACTTGATGTGTCTGTAGGGGATAGGAAAATCTGATAGTAGTAGCCTCTTTAACTCTCTTGTCATCATCAGCTAAAGTAGATATTATTGTAGTTCTCTCATTCAAGTTATGTGTGCAGAATTTTATGGCTATATCATTGCTTTATGTTAATTAAAGTCTTTTTATTTACAGATTTCCTGATGCTGAAACGGCATCTGCTATAGAAGAGCTTGGATGTAAGCACATTTGCAAAAATGTAAATGAATCCCACGTGGATAAAGCAAATAAAATAGTTACTACCTGTGCTTTCATGTGCAAGGCTCCTCTGCATGAAATCTTTGATGGAATTGGAACAATGGTACAAGAAGTCCTGAAGCTTGCCTGACTAGAAGCTACAGATATATCCAAGGAAATCAGTGTAGCTAAGCATAAACATTTAGCTTCCTTAGATTGAATTAATAAAGTAATGCAACTGCTAAACTTCACAGTTCCTGGTTTGGTGTAGTGGGGTGTTTTTTAATGTTTTATACATCAGATGGTTACTGCTGAATTTAACCTATTTATTTCTTTTTTAAAATAGAAACCATATATTGAAGGTGATGGGGGAGATATTTTCTTTTTGTTTTATTTTTTTTTTAATGAATCCAAATGTATTCAGTCTTAAAAAGATTGAATGGACAATGGGGTTTTATCACATCATTAATGGTTATCACTAATTCATATTTACTGTTACCCAGCTGCAATTACAAGTGAAGTAGCTGTGAATGAGTCTGTTTACCATCATTATAGGTGAATAATTCAATTCTGATTTCTAAGAAAAATAAAATAATGTGGTTATTTGGGTTCTTTTTTCCCCTTGAAAGTCTTTAAGCAAGTATTACTGATGGACTTCAGAAATTTTTGCAGGGCCCCCTAGGTAAACCAACTTGATAAACCAAGATGCAGCACAAATGAATGCATTACATGCGGAAAATACACAAGTTTGGTGCTAATAAATGAAGTAATTTCAAATTAATTTAGTAAAATGAATTAGATTTATTTTGTAATTTTTTTTGGCATACATTGTTTAGTGCCTTGAGGAAGACAATTTTATATGTTAGACAACATGCTTTGATCTTATAAATATGAACAAAAGGTTAGCAGCTTCTCTTAGCAGCTCAATCTGGCAAGGCTTTATACTCCTGGAGGAGCAAAAAATTCCCAGAATTCCTTATCTGGGTGGACGCTGAGATGTCTCTCGTAAGAAGTGCTCTGGTGCTCACAGGTCTCTGTCACTCCTGTCCTGTGTAGTGTAGCCCACACTCTGCTGGGCCTGAAGTAACCTGAACTGACATCACCCGCTCTGTGTCTTGTGTAACTGGGGTGGGAATAAAACAGGAACAGACCTGTAGCAGACGGGAGCCAACAGGTGGAGCTGGGTAATAATGCCTTTATGATGAGGCATGTGGAGCTGTCCCTCAAGCTCAGCACTCGTGTGATCAGGCTGGGTGCAGACCTTTGCTGCTTCAGTGCAAGAGCAATGGCTACAGTGATATCTGACATGCTGCAGTGTATTGAGTGCTACCCCTCCCTACATGTGCTCTGTTTATTTTAGCACAAATGTCAATGCTCAGACATAACCTTCTTCAAGGAGGTTGTAGACATAAATCTGCATAAATAATTGTGAAAAGGTTTTAATTCTCTGTACTTCTAATCATTATGATTTTCAAGGACACAGCACTTCCATACTGTATGGAGTTATTTAGGAGAAGCAGAACACAGATTTTTGGCAGAGGAGCAGGTAGATTTTTGCACTGTGTGCAAGCAGTGAGTGCTCTGCCTCTAAAGGTACAAAGGTAGCTGGAGTCGACTGTGCCAGCAGAGGATCTTCTGTTTAGCCTGACTAAGCTGGACATATAAACACCAAATTATTTAGTCAAAACTCACAATATTGGACTGAATATAGTTGTGTTATCGGAGTCTTACTTAAAAGTGCTTGAGTCACTAAGTTTGTCACTAAGAGTTTGTCATGAATTTTGCACTGGCTTTGTGAAGAGCATGTAGCTGTTGGCTGGAACACTCAAAAGAAGCGTAGCTTCTTTGGAAGTGCTCTTGCTGACTGTCCTGATAGAAGTGTACTTAATACAGAACAGTCCTCTACTTTTTCCAGGTTGTACACAGTCTCTATAATGCCTTCCATGGCTTCTGTTTGCAGGATGCCATGCACATTGGATTGAAACTTTTTCTCCAAGTCTTCCTTTTTCAGAGGTTTCCTCCAGTGCCCATAGAAGGTAGTGCAGCGGTCGCTGGTCGTGTTGCCATCCTGAAGTGTGACACTCACTTCACAGTAAAGGCTGTCAAAGCTGGGGGTGTTGTCAGGAGGGTGCTCCAGCTGCGTTTTGCAGAGGAGCTCCCGCAAGGCTGGCCGGTGGATGTTCTCGCTGGCAAAGGACTGGACTGACATGCTGCCGTCCAGCAAAGCGGAGCATGCAACAAACTGGAAGGAGTGTCGTGCTTCATGCTCTGAGGCTGGGCTGGGTCTGTTCACGTATCTGACCTCAGGGACTTTGAGAATGACTTTCTCAATTTTATCAAGGGGAAGCAAGTTCTCGCTGCTCTGCACAAGCTTCCTCCTAACAGAAGAAGCTGCATCAGCCACCCAGTGTGTTGCAAGATGAGCAGGAAAGCGTTTGATGGCCACGTCTTGCTGGTCCAAGAGCCAGGGGTAGGACTGCAAGATTGGCAGGGTCTGTGGGTTGTAATCTGTATAAAATGCACCCATCCCTGACTCCATGTCCAAGATCTGTTTGTTTCCTTGAAGGCCTTGTAAAGCTAAGCAAGCCGCTTCCAGTCCGTGCTTGGCAGCATTGCCAACATGGAGGGGCTTTATTTGGGTTGCTGCATTAGCCAGTGGGGCACCTGCATAGGAAGCAGCAATAGCCAAGGCATTTTTACATTCCTGCTGGTCGAGAGCTAGAAGTTTAGCACAAGCTGCTGCACTCCCCATTGTACCAACCACAGCCGGTGGGTGAAACCTGACAAAAGAAAAGTATTTTCATTACCAGATTTCAAAAACTCACTCAAATTCACTCTCTACAAAAGTCTTTCATTCATTGCCATGGGAAATGGATTGGACCATAAAGAAATACACATTCAGCATTCACGTGTGGGCCTGAGAGTTACTTTTCCATAGGAAAAAGTAAAACTGGAATAGTACTGCTTGCAGTAAGTCCTTCTCAGAAGGCAACTGAAACATTAGTGCCGCTCATAGTTTAAAGCAAATTTATAGTCAAATATAAAGTTATATTTATTATTATTTAATTTATATATTATTATAAATCTATAAACATTCAAAGTAGAGAGATTATTGCCTCACTGTGAATTGGTCAATGCTTTCAAAAAAAATCTATTAGCTAATGATGATTTTTTTGAAAGCATTGACCAATTCACAATTTATAATAATATATAAATTAAATGATAATAAATATAATTTTATATTTGACTATAAATTTGCTCTAAACTATGAGCAGCACAGGAACTATTAATAACTGTGCCATCTATGTAAATTGACACTTTCTACTTTAACATTTCTATGTACCTTCTTGGAATATTCCTGGCTTCTCTGGAGAAGTGCAGCAACCTGCCTTGTACTTCGATTCCCACATTGAAAGCTAAGAGCAGATCAAGACCCGAGATTTTTTTCTTCTGAGGAAAAGCCTCTGAGAGTGCAATCACTGCAGGGAGCACAGCCCCAGATGGGTGTGTGGCTGGATGCCAGGTGTCATCAAAGTCCATTGAGTGCACCTAATGGAAAGAGAAGCATTGGTATAGAAATAAACTCTGACTTTACAAGGTTGCCTCAGTCAAATGAAACTACTGTAACTGGTATAAAAAAGTACCAAAGAACTAGGTCTTCCTTAGAAAGCAAAAATTTCAAAAGTCTTTTAAAGACCTTTACTCCCAACATGGCTGTCTGAGAAGTGGCAATGCAGCAGAGATCTTGCTTCAAATGAGAATAATTCTAATTCAACTTATACCAGCCTGAAAGTAGTGTGACAATGATTCCTTTTTTTCTGCAGTTGGCTTTTGCTACTTTAATTAGACTGCTATAATTAAAGCAGCTGGTCTAGGTCCACCATGTGAACAGTGAATTTTCTCTTTCCCCAAAACATAATGAAATATAAACACAATGAAATTACATCACCAATGCTGCAACTAATGCTGCTATTAGGACTTGCACCACAAAACTGTAGCAGTTAAATACTGCTGAATGGAATTTATATCATCAGAGCTATTTCTGTGCTGCAACCATCCACTGTCAACAGGGTCAAGCCTGCAAATGTACAGGAAGCTTTAACCTGAATTTTCAGCACATTGAAACAAGACCTGTCACACAAGAAACCAGATTCTCTGGAGTTGCTGGGAGTAGGAGAAAACTACATTCTGAATGTGGAATGAGCTGCTTGGCTCAAGTGGTGCCTGCTCTTTCCCATGCCCAGAGCCCAGCTGCTCAGGAAGGTTTCAGGTGTTCTCAGCATGGCATATGGCTGCTGATCTGCATATGGTCCCCAACAGTGCAGTCAGTGTCTGTAATGCACTGCTTATCGGGCACATTCCTTCCTTCTGCAACGTTTTGGGAACCCCCAAAGACCTGAGAGCATCAGGGACAGCATTTTTTAATATAGCATAGTAAAACACCTCAAAACTGAACTTTCACATCTGTTCACCCATGTCTTTATTTCAAGACAAACTGGGAAAGTGGTCAGGCTCCCCAGAAGTCAGGTTTTGCCCTGTAATACTGTGATTATGCATTTTTGCGGACTGTTTCTAAACAGATAGAAGAAAATGCAGTTTCTGCCTTGAAAACCTTTGATGCCATCTGGGAATATGCCCTGCAGTGCAGGATAAGGAAAGTTGTGGCAAATACCCTGTAAGCTGTGTTTCTGGTGTCTTCAGTAAGTGCTTCAGCTGACCTGTGACCAAGATATAAACTGATCATATATATGCTAACAGCCAGATCTGAATATCATAAGGGCTGCTAGGAGCTGAGCGGTACCAGATCTCATTTCCAAGGTAATTTTCTCTACATTGGAAATGAGCTGTTAAATTGGACCTCTGATATTGTTGTCACACTAATTTAAATAGGCTTAATATTACTATTTCCTTGGTTGGTCACCTTTCCTAGTTTTGCATAATTGCCAAATTTGTCTACCCCACCTCTTGTGCATCTTTCAATTTCAAACACCTCAATCTGATTTTAGACAAACATCTTGGGAGTCAGTTATTGCTTTAATGACAAAGTGCATGTCCAAAAGATATCACTGGCTGTAGGAAACTGTGTAACTGAAGAGAAAGTTGCCTTGTGATATTATGTCTGTATGTATCTATATGTGCATCTGTGTTTTTCTGTAACTGTACTTTGCCAGTTGGCACAAAATTCATATGAGAGTGAAAAGAGCTAGAGTTAGAGGGTGCCTTTTTAAACAGCTACAGCGAGGCTGTAGCCTTGCTGCAAGGTTACCAGGTTGTAAGCTGTAGAGTTCTGACACTGGACAACAACCCCAGGTCCCACATTAAATGTAAGAGATGCTGTTGATTGGATCATACATATATTCTACCTTAAGTTCAGACTCACTGGAACGAGGTTGAAGCACATTAGGAGAATAGTCTAGAAAAGTTTTGTAACAGGCTTCAGAATAAGCTATGATTTTTGGGACATACTGTTCTCTATAGAGCAAGAATGGCATCAATTTATATGATTTCAGAGCAAATAAAAGAGTATCCCTTACAGCCACTCCATTCACAAAAGCTGCATACACAGGAGGCAGTCGGAAATCCGAGTGGCCCCAGATGGTACTGGATAAATCTGAGCTGTAGATCTGAAACAAATTGACATAAATTAACTCAAAGTCCTGAACATAAGGATAAATGTGCATTGTATCTCTGATGTAACTGAGAGAAGACCACGTCCTCTGGGGACCTAACTGTTCCCTTTTATGAGAAAAATACTGTTCTTTCAGAAAGTCTGAAAAGCAAGTCAGTTTCCTGTTGCTTATGTCCTATTCCTCCCAAACAGAGCTTGGGGGCAGACCAACACCACCCACCTGGCCACTCAGTACCTTCACACAACCTCTGGCCACTGACGTCCCTTCTCACCACCCATTGACAGAATCACAGGATCAGCTGGGTTGGAAAAAACCTCCAAGATCATCAAGTCCAACCTAAATGATGTCATCATCTTGTCGGGGAAAACATCTCATTAAAGGATTTTGTTTTCTATGTTTTAGTAAGACCCTGAATAATCAATAGATGGCCTCCTGGTGCTGCAAACTGAATAAAAGGGCATAAACTACCCTGGTTTGGAAAGGGAAATTCTGTATGTGAAGAGACTAACTGGCACACAGAGCTTTGGAGCACAAGTCCACCCAGGCAGGTCTGAACGATAAAACAGTGGGCTGAACTCTTCATTGATGCACTCCTGTGCTGGGAAGACCTATTTTCAGGGTCAATTACTCTGCTAGTTTGAGGAGAGCAAGACTAGAGGAGAAGCTCATGGCTAGTGAACCTCAGACAATTATGTTTTATGGACTGCAAGTAACCCACTGCTAACTCCCCATCTCTTTAACAGTTCCTGGATTTGAAAGGCTGGTGATAAGTGATGCTTACTTTGTCAATGTTTTTAGAAAGATATCATAGGTGAAAGAAATGAAGAGGTTCTTAGTTGGGTGTGCTTGTAGAGGGGGATCTTAGCATACAGACTGATACACAGACTTTTGCCCATCCAGAGTGAAAACTAATTTGAGCACTGAAGTTTCACTGTCTCCAGTGGGAATAACACAATTTCTCTCTTCCCATCCGTGAGAGAATTTCACCATGGCAAAATTTCCTTTTCATTGCCCAAGTTTTCCCTTGCTTTCTTAAAGGCAAACCTTAAGGTGTGCTGTGAATGCCAGAGAGCTTACCTTGCTGTACTGTGCCACTTTGTGGCAGACCTCGGTGCTGGTACCCAGAAGCCCCACTCCAAGAGTATCCAGAATCATTCGTTTACTTCTCTGAATTACTTGATCTGTCAACTGATTTGCATTCAAACCATTAATCACCTTGGCAAAATTTCCTGTAACTGTCTGGGAAGGGAAAAAATAAAGAAAAAGAAGAAGTAGATATTTCTCTATATTTAAAATAAACACTCTATTTTCTTTCCTCTTTTTTTTCCTGTTCAGTTTTTGGGCTACTGTCCAGCACACTGGCCATTTCTGCTCCTGCTTACTTGAATTTCATCAACAAAACCAAGGTTTGAATTCTTCCCCTTTTTATTCCCAGAAATGTCACTGTGTTATTTATATTTTACTTATGCTTTCATCATTATCCTTTTCTGTTTTGTATTTCTTCTACTTTCTCCCTGAGCCCTTGAGTGTATGCACTGCAGGTGCTACAACTATGCAATGTTATCTCTATCATCTCTATCTCATCCTCATCTCATCTCCATCCCTAATGACTATTCACACACACACACACACACACCCCAAATAGGGGTAAAAGCACCTATCTTTCCCATGGTACCTACTTGTTGGTATTGAAATCAGTGAGAGAGTAGCATTTCCAGCCAGTGCACCCACTACCACATAAGAAGGCAAGATTTAATCTCCCTGACTGGCAGCCTTACTATCCCAAATCTTGCTGAGCTTGGAGCTCAGGAGGAGGCAGAAGTTGGCAGCACTACCTTGCACATATTGCTCATAGTTCCCAGCTCCCATTGAATTCACTCTCAGCAGGAGTCACAGCTTTTCTCCAAGACAAGATTTTGCCTCTTTGAAAAGCAGTGGCTCCTTGTTCCTGGATCCTGCTGATCTGGGAATTATATATATTTATTTTCCTCTCCTATTGAGCAATGGCTCATTATGCAAATTCAACCTGCTTCTTGGCTGTGAGCTGCTGTTAGTATCTGTATTAGAAAATGATCTAAAACTTTCCTTCCTGGACCACTAGAAATGTCCCAATATAGAGGTACACATTATTTACAACCAATCTATATACACAGTTTCTTTTTTATACTGGCAGTAATGAATATTTATCTTCTCTCTCTTTGGAAATTATCTCCTTTCATATCCCCTCTTCATTCCCCTTCCTTTACTTCCCTGCACATATCCATACAGAGTGTTTGTATTGCCTTTTGGCCTTCATTTTGCTGAGGTAATCAAACCAAACTGTGCTGCTTTCTCCTCTACAATATGGACTCACCCCTAATATGCTTGTATATTTTCATTGCATTCCTCTTTCTCTAGCATTGGTGACCAGAATTGTACCCACCATTACACACAAGTTCTCACCCACACTTGCAGTGAAGCATTATGATTATTTTGAGGAAGCAGTTATAAGCAGTTTAAAGCAGGTGAACCACGTATCCCATTGTGTGATGGTCACCAGCTGCAGCATTTGGAGTGAGGATATGAAAACTTAAATAGAGAATTGCATCTTACAGTGCAAGGAAACAAGACAGTACCTTTGCCCACATCTTGCAGGGGTGATGCACGTCCCAGAGAGATGCAGCAAAGGAGTGGTGGCCAGTGAGCAGGGGAACTCACTCTCTCACTATTTATGTGTGTCTGTCTGAGGGGGGGAAGGAATATTAGGCCTTTCCACTTACGCATCTTGTCATGCCCATTTCCTCTTCTGCCTGTAAGTGTTCTTTTTGCTTCACTTTCAATTTTCCTCTGACTGATCGCGCTGTAAATCTCTGGGACATGTGTGATAGGACTTAGCAAGTCATGTTTACGTGTTGTGTAAATTAATACATGTGATACTTCATTATCAGATAGAAACTGATTCATCTGGTAGCATGGAGAGCTGTGTGGAACCACAGTAATACATGGATAGCTCTACTGGTTGGGAAAATCCAGTACTAGACTAGAAGATGGCAAAGGCTGTTTTAGCTTAAACAACTTGTTTATTTCCTTGGGGTTTTTTTTTCTTCTTTTGCTATATGTTTCCTCTTTAACACATACAATTCAGACTTGAGAAATGTATGCCATAAGAATTTCAGACCATAAACTGGATTAAGGCAGTTCTTGGCACTTAGCAGTGTTTTAACAGCATGAATCACTTGTGCTAGCAATACTTAGTGAGTGAGAAATCCCTGCCTAGACCATCAGGAAGGGAGCAGATCCCACAGGAGCATGACTAGGGGCCACTGAATAATTCTGAAGTAAATAAGTAAATAAGTAATGATGTCTGAAGTGTGGGAATCACCTGGGTTAGGGAACAAAGCATCAAATCTCGGAATTGCAGCCCTGCACTTCCATGATAAGTGCTGCCTAAAACAGTCTAGAAACCTCAGCCCTTTACTGAGAATAGCTCAAAAAATGTTTGTAAAGGCTTATCAAACTCCTGAGTGCTTCCAGGTAGATAACAGCATGGGTCTAGAGGTGAAGCTAAACATCAATTTGAGTGGTTCTAACCACTACTGAAAGGTCCTGTTTCAGGCTGTGTCCTTCCCTCTCTCCTGTCCCTGGGTGCATGGTCCTTCTCCTCCCATGGCCAGCCCTGATGCTGGGGGTGCAGACCCATTTCTGAACTGGTCCAGTCTGTCTCCAGAGTTAGCTCTGTGATTCTCAGCAGTCAGGCATAACTGAGTTTCATTCCCTACGAAATACAAAATTAAATCTTGCAGCACAAGCAGAGGGAGGGAGAAGTAGGGCTAGCAGTATTGTGTGAAATTTTGGGAGGGTACAGACAGGTAACATGAGAGAAGAGGGAATCAGCTGTTCCCTAGCAAGCTCTAAGTAGGACATTTGCCTATTTTGCCCATGCTTTTAGCCAGTTCTGCTTTGGAGTATCATCTGCTGGTACATAACTTGATGCTAAAAATTGCACTGGATAACAAAGGGCCTGAAATGATAAAAGCAGTGATGAGTCAGTTCATGGATACAGCCAAAGAGCCTGAGGCCCGGGTTTCCTAAAACCCAGCCCTACAAATAGAAACTAATTTTGTACAGGTTAACCTGCATAATCTGAAGGTTCCATTTAACCCTTGTCCTGTCTTTGTTTTAAATATGAGCAGCTGTTCAGCATAGCTACTGAACCTATTCCCACACATTTCTCTATGGGTATGATACAGTTTCCTCACCCATGCAGGTATAACTTGCATAAAACATCCCAGTATGTGTCCTAGGTCCTGGGTTTATTTTGACAAATCCTGACCCCATAGGGACAGAGAACCAGAATGTGCATCTGTGCTTCTTCCTTGCCCCCCATATTTCCACACTGAGGAAAACATCAGAGGTTGCCTGAATTACCTTTGCTGCTGATAAAATCCAACCAACATAATGAGATTTCTCAGGTTGACAAGGTTGGCAGTGGTTAGAAAGGTTAATAGAAGTTAATTTATTGGGATGATAAAGGGAAAGATTTTGTTAACTTTCAGTTTTGTTCTTTCAGCTCATTCTTATCTCAGAAAATTGGAAGAAAATATTTAAATTGCAGAACTGTGCAATCACATATTGGCTGCAGTTGGAAGGGACCCCCAGAGACCATCTTGTCTGACCTCTAACAAGGCCACCCAGAGCAGTCTGGGTCCAGTTATGTTCTGAATATCTCTGAGGACAGAGACTCCATACTCCCCTGGGCAACCACCAAAAAAATACATATTGAATAAAAGATATTCAAAACGTTAAAGTCCACCCTCTTTTCCCATTACCTTTGAGATATCATTAATAACCCCATTCTGTTTCTCATTTCTTTCTCCTCCTCAAGTGAGATGGAAGTCCCACTGCCTTAATGCCATGATGAGACTCCAAAATGAATTCAGATGGGACCCAGAACCTGTGATGAGCTTTGCAGTGTGCTGTGCAGTCACATGCTGCTAGCTGATCTCAGATACGTGGTCATTTCCTCCTGTGGTCCTGATTGCAGGATGGACTGTCCCATGCATTGCAATAATAACATTACTAATATGTATGGACTGAACTATCATGAGAAAGCAACTTTTTGCTTAAAAAAGAATGAAGTGAAACCTTTGCTTGGGCAACCAAATTCCAAACTGTAGTCTGCAGACCTCAGGCCCAGGTGTACACTGTAGACTGTGAGCAAAAAGCAATATGATTATCACTGCAGGGGGAAGAGGCATCTATACAAAGTCCTGTACTTCCACAGCAGAATTCCTAGGGGTCTAAACAGAAGAAGGCTGGAAATCAGTGACTGAGAGTTTGGTACAGCCTGTCCACCCTGACAAAGGGAATCTGCTGCTTTCCTTTTCTTTGACACAATACTCATGGTTCAGCAATTTGGGCAGACAATTTGTTAGCTAGCAAGCGTGGTGGAAAGACAAAATGTGTTCATCCAAATGCCATTTGCAGCGTTGCACGCAGCTACAGTAATGAGCTGTGTTGATTACAGAACAAGGCTTTAGAAAACCAGTGCCCCACAGAGTCTATTTTCTCCTGCTGACATCAGATTTTTAAGCTGCTTTTTTCCTTCTTTTGCCTCCAGTTATTTTAGGCTGAACTCTGCCCACACCTGCAAGCTGTATGTTTGCAACTGAAAGCAATTTTGGCCCTAGCCTTATTTCCTTGTTCCAAGGAAATATTAAAAATTATGACAAAATACAGAGTCCAGGCTTCCTTTTCTCCAAGCCAGCTTTTAAGAAGTGACTTTGTTAATAGCCTGTGCTTAAATGAGAAAACAGGAGACAGGTGCCAGTGTGTTGTGTTTACAGAGACTCTGCTGTTTCTGGCAGTCTGAAAACAACTTATAAGTTCAGAACTTGCTCCTTTTCCCTCTATTGGATTATTTAATTACAATTAAATAATTAATTGAAAAGGTGAGAATCTTAGCAATAACACAGAGCAAATGCTGTGTGTAGCAATGTAGGCAATGATTGCATCACAAACGGTATCATCCTAGAAATTTCTAGCCTACAGTAGTTCTCTTATTCACTTACTTGCACAACTAGTGGCAATGGCAGTGAAATCTCTGAGAAGTTATCACCCTTGTTTGTTTTTTTTGAAGTTCCCACAGCAAATCTTGGAAGTTCCCGCCCATGTTCTGGTAAAGGTTGCTAGGAGTCAATGTGCTGGTCAGTGCACTGCATTACATTGCCCTTCTTGTGTTCCTAAATTAGCAGTGCTATTCCTAAAGGCAAGACCTCAAGGTTCATTTTAACTTGTAATGTAAATGCTGGTTTGCTTAAATGAACTGTAAGGTAGAGGCACCAGACATACCTGGGATATTCCCTTAGGATCATGTTCAAGACAGCATAATTTATGGAGTAGTGTGAAGAGGCCTGGTCTACAACAATATGAGAAGACACCACAGTTCCATGAAATTCCTGTTCATCCAATGTTCATTTTAGCTCTCACCAGTGCTACAAGCTTTATCTGTTTTACTGATGCCAGCACTCAGTTTTACCCTGTCTTCTGCAGCAGCCTCAGGCTCTGCTGCAACACTGGATCACATGGAGTCCTTTGGTGGAAGGACCACGGAATGAGTGTGGGGGTGCTTTGGGAGTGTCTTTGATAGTTTATGACATCTTCTAAGATAGGACAGCTGCATCTCATGTAGCTGAACCAGTTATGCCCCATCAAAAGAGATAAATACCTTCAGGCCTGTGTGTAAATGTGACCTTCCCAAAGGTGGGGAGTTTTACACCTAAGTCAGAAGTGTCAGGGAGGGCAATTGGAATGATAAAAAACACCATCCCCCCTCTGCAGGGCCTGCTGCTTATCGACCTTCTATCTTATCTGGCTAAAACCCCAGAATCTCCAGTGGTGGGTGTTCTCCCCCTCTGTCTAATCCGGATCAGAGATTTTGCCATCAAATATCCCAAAACTCATCTCCTCCCCTTGATGGGTGCAATCCCTGTCCCAGCATAGCACCCTGCTCCTCTGCAAATGGCCAAATATTTGAGCCATTAACCATTAATGTCTCTCCCAATTATCTCCAATATGAATAATAGCAGTGGGTGTGGGAGATCACAAATGTTTTTTGTACCTGCAGTTTCTATAACTACCTTTTGTTTTTGGCAGCCTGTGGCAGCCTGTAGCACACACTGTTCTCTTAATCAAAGAGCAGCTCATGATGTCTATATTATGTATCCAAAATGCAGCCAGATGCCATTACATGACTTGTGCTATTTGGGGAGATGATAAAACTTGACTAGCATAAATTAAGAGTTTGATAAGCAGAAACCAAACTGGTGAGAGCACATGTGAAGCATGAGGCAATTTTAATTAAATTACCAGCTGAACTCCAGTGGTGCAAATGAGGCATTACCCACTGTGCTATGCTGTGCATCATACACAGAAAGGTACCAAGCAAATTGATGCTCTTGATCACTTCAGAGCAAGGCCAGATGTCAGGACATCATGGGTCCCAGCAAGGCTGTGGTGGTGGTACAGTGGGGAGATACAGTATCAAGATCTAGCTTAAACATTGATTAAGGGATAAAAAAAGCCTTCTGCATCTATACTAGTTCTCAAGGATTTGGAATCCCTAAGAAATTATCAGACTCATTACAAAGTATGCACTGAAAGGGCTAAAACAACACCTATAGGATATA